TTTTCTCATTAGTCATTAACCTTATTAAGCGCCACATAACGAGATCTATTTTGCTTTAATCTATATTAACCCTTTATAAACTTCGAAATGGCGCTAAAAATTACAAGTCAAATTCGAAGATATTAAGACCAAGATGTGTGACCTTTTATATGGTTGCGGGCTTCTTTCGTTGTGTACAAGTTGTTTAACCTTGCTTGCGCAACTTAGTCGTATCGTCGGGGCGATCTAGTGGAAAGCACCTTGTCCTGACCCCATGGTATCCGACTACGATCCTGGCGAAACGTCTGCGAAATTACCAAATCCGCGGTCCTAAACTGGAAAATATCATGGGTACTATGGTGCCGATACCGGACAAAGTGCTTTTCTTATGGTCTCTCTGACAATAATAGCAATTTGCAAAAATAAGTTAAACTATTCAGAGTGCTTTATTATAATTAATTACACGATGACGATTAGATGTGCAATGATGGGATTAATTAAGGTCATATCATCGCCAGATCAAAATGATGGAAAAATGCATAAACCATAGCTATCATAGAAGTGGGTTGACCTCTTTGTCGAAACTTTGTCTTGTTGTCAGGGCGACTTAGTAGAAGACACCTAGTCCGAAGTCGTCTGCCATACTAGTTGTCATGATTCCCAGCAGCAGACAGTGGACTTGGTACATTCTCAAACGTTCCGCCGACATCGTAGTCGGCATCATTTGTGCATTTTGCCATTCTCCGAACCAAGCTATGAACTCGTCAGAGAGACAAGTGAAGTTAATCCCTCGACAAACGTTCTGTTGAAAATGGTTACACTATCACTCCTCTTTCTGTCCTGGCCTATCTATCTACTCTTTACCCTCTTATCCCACTGCCACCCCATCACAACTTCTCACTTTTTTACATCCCTTTTGTAGCAAATTTAGTGTGGCCTCATCACACTTGCAATTCACCCCGACCCCCTTTCGTTCGGCTAATCCCACTCGGGCCTCCAACCCGTTTGAGAATGTACCAAGTCCACTGTCTGATGCTGGGAATCATGACAACTACTATGACAGACGACTTCGGACTAGGTGCGTTCTACTAAGTCACCCTGACAACAAGACCAAGTTGCGACAACGAGGTTAGCCCAATTCTATAAATCGAAAGGAGACTGCGACGATACCAGACGCCACAACATCTTGGTCTTCATATCGTCATGGGTATAGTGTTGGCAAAAGAAAATTAAAACTAACTAGAAGTCCTTTAGTTAGTATTTTTCCCACCCATTTAGAGATGATATTACAGCTTTGAAACAGACATGACTGTGAACAGAAGAGAAGATACATCGTATCGAGGACCCAACGAACTCACACATGCCAGGAGGATAATGAACTAGCCTCATTCACTCTTCTAGCCCTCCCCCGTGAGCTGTAGTAACCAGGGCATCATAAGTATGCAAATAGAGCAGAGGCAAATCGAGGACCAACCGGTTAAACGTTAGATTGACTTGGTCCAGGAAACAGCGATGGGGTGCTTGTGTGCTACAGATGAGAGAGGGCTTGAACAACGAGCTAAGCTTCTTGCATTGTCGGTTGATGAGAATGTAAACTTCCGTGCTAAGCTGGGCACAAGGGAGTGATTGGCTGATTGAAAGCTAATGGAAACCATTAGATGCACCTCTCTTAAATCTTTAACATGTTCACTATACCGGACATACAAACTGCAAGCGATGCGTGGCACCTGGCGAATGCAAAGGAAAACTTGTACAGAATAGTGTGCACAAAATGTGTGTATAGAGCGCAATCATGTAGGTGTGCGGATGCGTGTATGCGTTTGTAGGAACGTGTTTCTAGTAATATTTATATGCACCCATTCATGCATATGGGCATATATACACATTCAAAGACATGTGGCACTGGCTAATACGCAATCCATATTGAAAGTGACCAACATTCAGTCTTGGAGTCTCGTGGATATTATGGTCTGGAGGGAGAAAAGCAGACATCATGACCGCAGGAACTATCTGATATTAAGGTCTGGCATGACGCCTGGTGTATTTACCAGCTTCGCTAACCAATTTGATGGGGTTATTGTGGTTTGTCTTTAAACGCTAATGACATGTGGAGAGGCTTCCATCCCTCGAACCTGCTTAGGCTAGCTTCGGCATGGCAACCGGGAAAAAGGAACAAAACGGGAAATGGCCAAGCGTAATTTCTATGCTACTCCCAAAAAAAACTCGAGCAAATTCTAAATAGAGTTAGCATGGGGTAGGCTGAGGGACCTTGAGAGTGACCGGAGAGACGAAGCAAATAACATCAAAGCATGATGGGCAAAGGAATTTAAGACAGTTAAGATTAAGATAGTATGTGACGTAGTAACCAAATAGTATAATAGAAAATTAGTAAAAGGAAGCTAACACTGAAAGGCTCAATCAGAGCAGGTAGTAGAAGGTGTGTCTCGATGGCAGCCTAGTTGATGGGCCAACGGAAAAGATGCGAAACACATACTCAAGACGTAGAACGGGTCCGAGCAGCCGGACCCATGACCGTTCCGACAGAGTACACATGACAGATAGAATGGAGCAGCTAAGCGTAAAAGGGGGCAAATCGATGCAACCGGGTGTGGATGATAAGGTGATAGGATGGTTGGTGGCCGACAAGAGGAACCCGCCTGACGGTTTCCAAAACAATGACATAAACAATAATTATCAGAGGCAGAGGATTGTCATAACCGGGACAAAGAACCAACGGAGCACTGGGCCCCAGACATGCGGCAAAGGTGTCTGTGAGAAAAGAGACCCACCGCCTATCAAGCAAGATAGCTTGTCACAGTCATCACAGTCAGGCTTCAAGAATCTGATGCCTCCTGACTGGTTGAGATAAGGATGGAAAATAACAACGGCATGAAGGGGAGATTGGAAACTGGTGAGGCCGGTTAGCTGAGAGAGCCGGACATCCTTGATGGGGTCACCGGGCCTTTATCTCAAAGCAAATCATCACCGCCCAAAGGGGTCTATCAGACCCACAGATGAAGTGAATGACCCTGGGGGCCACCGTCGTGGGTGCTGGAGGAGAGTGTCCAGTGAAAGGAGGAGGGAAAGGTGGAAGGATATGTAGTCAGCCTGTGGCTCAGATAAGACGGGTGTTGTGACCCCAGACGAACAATCTGGCCTCAGACATTGAATAATTTCGAGTCTACCAAAAGCCTCCACACACAAAACACATAGCAGATAACACTGGGTCTCAGAACTGGCAGACACAGTGCCTCATGTACACGTGCGGGCGTACAATTATTCCGGAATGGCAAGGCAGAGAAGGGTGCAAATCCTAGTCACACATACAGATTGCATGTGTGCATATGGCAAGGACACAAACAGACGAATCGATTGGCCAAAAGCTAGACGAGCTTGGCTACAGTCTCCTAGGCGGCGGGACAGTTGAACCGACCATCAGTAAACGGCGCCACCACGATCGTGCTCTGGCACACAATCATGTATGCGTGCACACAAATAGCCCGGA